ATTAAAATTAACAAAATTTAATAAAAAATATTCAATTTTATTTTATAGTGACGTATAAACGAAATCATAGCAATGAAAACACACTTGAACTCTAATGTTGTTGTTGTTAGGTGCTGTTGAGTCGAGTACAACTCACAGCAACCCTACAAACAAAAGATCTGAACCCTGCTCTATCTTGCACCACCATACTCTTATAAAAAGAATTAAATAACTGCAATCCTCTAACACTATACTAGGATATCTCATTGCTTTCTTAAGGCTGAATGTCTTCCAAAAGTCTTGTTCTCAGGGAGGAAAGTCTTCTTTTACCAGCATTCACAGATGGCAAGCTACATTATTTTTGCCCTGTTGGTGTTTTCAAAGATGTTATTTGGGAAATAACTGAGTAACACTGCAACATGTGACTTAGGATCAGATACCAGCAGAATTTTAGATACTTTCAGCATGGGAAATTTCTAAGTGCTTACTGACTGCAGTGTATTCTGGATACAAAGTTCAATTTCACAGATATGCATGGAGCAAATAAGAAACAACTGTATTTAGACTGCTGAGTCTGATAAAATTTAGAATTATTCAACAGAAGTAGAAACATGATGATTATCCATTGATGGTAAATTAAAATCAACAAAAACCAATACTAAATTATTTGTCTTTTCTTTTAGCAATGTACTTAAGCAATATCCCTTACATGCAAATTTTTTCATTAAATAAAACTAAAAAAACCAAACCTGTTGTCACTGAGTCGAGCTTAGAGGGCAGAGTAGAACTGCCCTCTATGGCTTCCAGCTGTCTATCTTTATGGAAATACACTGTCACATCTTTCTCCTGCTGAGTGGCTGGTGAATTAGAAATGCCAAGCTTCTCCTAGTTAGCAAGCAGCTTGAGCTAACTTGTGGCCTAACGGATTACATATTCCATGCCAAAAAAAGTTAAGCTCTTTTCCATAAACAGTAAATGTCACTATATCCAATCTTCTTCATAGAAATATGTCAGTTTGTGCTTACATGGTAGTATATTACCCAGCTAATACTCCTGGTTACTAAGAAAGGAAAAGGACCTTGTCAACATTTCTGCAACACAGGGCAAAAAATTTGGAAGTAATGTAGCTAGAAAGGGAGTAAGGGGAAAGAAAGGAAACAATACACATAACTCCTTCTCAACTCCTACTTTATGTGCATTGAATCCATAGTACTTATAAAACCTCTCATTGCTCTACTGTGAAACTAGCCTTTTCTGCCTGAAATACTGAGAAAGAATGAGGCTTCAAATGAATATGAAAACAAGCCTGATGATCATCTATTCCTTCTCTACAGTGAACCTAAGATTACAAAATATAATAATCTACAGTTGACAAAAATGTAAGATCTGCCTTTCTACCATTCAAGTCAAACTTGAATTTAGGCTCACAATGGTCAGGATTTCAAAATCACTGCTGTATTTATAACAGATATTACACAGCCAATGTTCCATCAGTAATTTAAAATTAAAAGAAAAAACACCTTGTTTCAAAATGAGAGGCTGGTCCATTAGCAACTTCAATATGCTTATGTAAGAGATTAGCATCATCTTCCGCCAGCTCTGGACCTTGGGCCAGCTTCTGCCACTCTCTTCGCCTGTCATGAGGTGCTCTCGGCACTTTTTCTGGTTCATGAGGACGGTCTAGATTTTTCTGCTATAACAGAGGTATTGAAACAAAGCCAAATGCTGAAGTGCTAAGTTATTAAAAAGAAGTTAAAATAATCAAAACAAAATTCTAACATCAATATTTTAAAAAGGACATTGACATGACAAAATAATAAAAATAAAACATAGTTCATTTATAAAGTCAGAGTTTATTTAGTCAGAGTTAGCTAATTTATAACTTCCACTTCTTGTCATTTTATAACCTCTAATTCAAACTGATGCATCCAAATAAAAAAGTGGACCTGATTTGAGGTTAGGAAGTCATGTCAGAGGAAAAAAAAGATTCAGCCAATTTTGCTACCTTATCTATTAGTCTTAAATGTTATAAAAAAGAAAAAAAAATCTATCATTAATAGCACTGTCTGCCTTCAACTACAGTGTCACTATTTACTAAATTTATATTATCTGGGAAATAATCAAGTAGCTTCCAAAGACACTGGGGGGCAAAAAATCCAGTGTCAGTAAACAGAAAACAAGGTTTTTGAAAAATCAAACAAAAAAGTGATTCTTATTGTGAGAAAGCGGAGAAAAGGTCTATATTAGGAGCAAGAAATTAAAAATGTCCAAAGGGATAGGGGAGCTCTGGTGGCCTAGTGGCAAGGAGCTGCAACTACAATCCCAGAGGTGCACGGTTCAAATCCACCAGAGGCTCTGCCGGGGAAGGAGGGACAATCTCCTCCTGTACCAGTCAGATCTGATTTGACGGTACCCTCACACAAAAATGATAAAATATGTGCAAAGGGGCCAAGAAGATAGCAAACATCAATAAAGACGGAACCTGTATTGAACTAGATAATTATGCCCATCTAAGGCATTCCAATTAAAAAATTGTAAAACTACTGTCTGTCAAACAAAAGACTGCCAGCTCTAGTAATTTGGCCTGCTAGTCATTGAAACTGGCTCGGAATTTGAAAACTAGCTAGAACACTGGGAACTGTTCAGCACAGACAGTAGTAACACTCTGAGAACACTATGGGAAACAAAAGGGAAAGTGGGGAGAGCTATGGGCAGTAGCGGGACAGCCTGGAGATATGAGAGAAGTGGGGACAAATTAGGGGAGACGGGGATAAGGAAGACAGATTGTGGCTCCTAAACAATTTAGCTTAAATTTCAACTTTGAGTTTTCCTTCTATAATTTCAATTCTCACTAACATGGAATAAAGCAGATAGTAATGAATTTTCTCAAACAGCAGAAAACAAAAAGACAACACAGGTAACAAGAATTTAATGTGACTAAAATAACCTCTCTAACCTTTCATGTATACTGTAGTTTTAAAAATACACACACACACAAAATATATTAGCCTAACCTACTTTACTAGTATTTGCACAGTATTCCTTTGTGCCTTCTTAAAGACTGCCCTCCTCTTCCACAGTACACTTTATTCCTATTAGGTCTTGCAGACTCATTATATGCTTTGTTGGAAGTGTTTGTTGAGAGTGGCCCTTGGCTAAAGCAGGTACTATTTTGTGCTACTAAAACCCCCACAGGTATATCTGTTATGGCTCTTCCTGTATTGTATTATAATTAACAAACTATTTATCTGCTTTCCCATTAGACTATAATCTCTTTTTGTGACTATGGGTTTAGAATTTGACTAAACTAACACAAAGAAATAAAACTGTCAAACAACAGCATCAGTTAACTTCCATATATGCAGAAAAACACAAATACACTGAAAAGAATTTCATTTTTAAAATCTCTTGTAATACCTTCTGTTTTCTTTTTTCCTTCCTCTTATCCTCTGTATCTTGTAACATTTTTTCTTTCCATAAATCAAAGAAATAGGAAGGATTGGTATAAAATTTCAAACCTTCTTTCCCATCATCTCTGAAACATGAAACACCAATTAAAACATAACATAATAAGACGTAAAGATGCAATGAAAATAATAACTTTATGAATGTTTTCTTACATTAAGAAAATATCAACTGACTTTACAAAGAAATACAGTGTGGGTAAAAAAAAAAAGCCAAAATAAATTTGAATACTGTACCAATAAAAATTATTTTGCAAGTCAGGCAGGAAGCTTAGAAAAGTAGAAAACCAGACATTTTTCTGAGTTGATGTTAATAATTTAAAATAAAGCTCCACAACTGACAACCCTAACTTCTCCTGCTGAACTTCCTCTAAGTATTTTGGGAAATTCCAATAATTACAAATAGTTCTGACAAGGATGAAAGTCTGAAAGGGGAATAATATCATTTAGAACAGAAAATTTTCGAGTCACTGCCAATACTATTTTAGCTTTCCAAATCCAGAAGATATCTCTTAACAATATTCCAATAGTATCCTTTACAGCTAATGACTTGCATATTGACCTGAATAGCATTGTTTAGGATACGTAATGTGCATCTTAAATCACTCATTTAACAAATTACATAAAAGCATGCTAAGGAAAAGTCTGATTAAGTCTAAACTTTACATTAAACTACAGAAAACATTTAAAAACAGATAAATGCTCATTCTGTAAAAATGAAATAAATACAAAGTAAAAGAAAATGAGAACAAGCAAAAATAGTATTTTGTTATGGTAGAATTTTGAGCAATTATTTTCCATTTAATTAAAAGGGTAATAGCAATTCTTTGGTACTTCATGTCAATAATTTTGCCAATGGTTTAAAAAAATACTTGTTAAAAGTTCCTTGAATGTTTTTGTCTCTTCTTTGCGAGAACCTTGTGAATGCATGTAATGAATTAAAAAAAGGTTTTCTACATGTGGTGGATAAGGAGAGCTCTGTGTTGGCCAGCAGCCCAATGAAATGAAGAACATTAAGGGGCTTAAGCGTTTAAAAGCAGACCACTATCTACTTGAACCAAGAGAAATAATACTCAAGTACTAACCTATAAGGAGTGAGTATATTGAGAGGAGGAGGCTGTTCACAAACATCATATGTCTCCTGTAACGGAATTGGTAAAGTCTTACGGTCAAAAAGCTGCTGATCTTGAATTGTAGAACTTCGGAAAGCTTTTCTCATCGTTATGTCTTGCAGAGACACTAAAATATAAAATGTGCGTGTTTTATTTTTGTAATGACAACACACTCAAATTCACAACAGTGTTTAAAAATCTAAAGAGGTTATTATCTTTGTGGTTTAGGAATCAGGAATTATACTCTGAATGCTCTCTCAGTATAGTTCATATTATCTTACGCCCAAGTTTTCCAATCATGTTGATATTAACTAATTAGATATCCTCTGATTTTTAAAACGCAGAAAGCCCTAAATAATATCTGAAGTATATCTGTATTTCCTACCAATTAACTTTTTTCTTTTCTAACATTCCCAAATTAAGAATTCTTCCATTTCATTTTATCCATTCTCTTTCTTATATAAATAACACCAAAGAACTTATTCTGGTTAATTATACTATTGACCTCCATGTTGCATATATAATAAATATGCCTGTATCATACATATACTACAGAGAAGAAAAAATCAAGCTTTACGTTAAAGAAAATACTGTGCTGGATATTTATATTATTGTCTATTTATCTTATCATTAAATGTGTATTATAAGAAATTTCTACCTAGACCATATACTCTTGAAGATCAAGAATATCTTGCACATTAAGTGCTGCTAAAAACTAATGGTACCTTATATACATGATGATTAAAAAAACTCTGCTTATTAATTTACTTTGGACTTTGTGATATTAAAATAAGAACTGTATCATAAAAATCTCCATATTCATAATTCTTAAAGTGATTTCTTAGTTAAAAAAATAGACATCTTCTTAACGTATTTAAGAATATGGAAGATGTTCTTGAAAATACAAACATACAAGAGAAAGGGCAGTGTTGATCAGTCATAACTATTCTCAAATTATCCTTTCCCTAAAATAGTAAACTTATTACTCTCACAGTAAATTCTCATTTAACATCAAAGTTTGGGTTTATGGAGTCAGTGAAGTACCAAGCTTGCTCTGTATGGCCACACCATGACTGCATTCCCAGCAACTCCACAGCCACATGAGCTGTAACATGTTATAAGCACCAAATCAAAACTCAGAAGAAAACATCATTGTTTTACTCACTATAACCAAAGAGAAGTATATGAAATAACACACTTATGTTTAATCTCTTTTGAGGATACACATTTTCTTTTCTACAATGAGACATCAAACATAAAAAGTGTAAATCTTGGTTAACAAAAGATGGCCAGATGGGTAAGTAGGCTCAATGAAGAAATTTACAAATTTAATTAGATTAATGACCAGATAAGTAAAATTACTTTCAGAATGTTCTGGTATCAAATTATTTATTTGATATTATTTGACATGTAGACAACTACATTTTTTTACTGCATTATTTGCTTATTAGATAAAATTTGTGCGTATGTACTGAAAACACTAAACAAAATAGGAGAATAAAATGAAGAAGTTATAAAGTAAAATTTTATGAGTTTAAAAAGTACACAAGAAGAGGGGAAGGAAGCTGGCTTATTGGAAGTGGAAAAATCAGGATGAAAATGAGAATGTTGACCTATTATGACAAAGGGAACCAACGTCACTAAACAATATGCATATTTATTAAAGAAACCCATAACCACAAGGCAGTTCTGACTCCTAATAATCCTACACGTATAAACTATTAAATGAGACCCTAGTTTGCTATATAAACCTTTCACCAAAAAATTCAACAAAACCAATACATTTTAAGTACCGATTTTCTTTAAAGAGTGTTAGGACAATTCAATAGGAGAACTTTCTTTTTAACAAACAGAACTGAAATATGCAAGGATGGACCATTTCCTTACAAAACACAAAAATTTGCTCAAAATGGGCTACAAACCTAAATGTAAAGCTAAGGATAATAACCCAATTAAACATGGCAAAGGGTCTGAATAGACATTTCTCCAAAGATATACAAATGTCCAGTAAGCACTTGAAAAGATGTTAAGGACCATGAGTTCACAGAGAAATGCAAATCAAACCCACACTGGGATACCACTTCACACCCACTAGTGTGGCTGTAATATTGTTAAAAAAGATCAGTGTTGGTGAGGAGTTGGAGAAATTGGAACTATCTAGTGGGAATTTTAAAAAAATGTGTAACTGGACTGGAAAACACTCTAGGAGTTCTTAAAAAAGTTAAACAAGAGTTACCATATGACCCAGTAGCTCTACTCTTAACTATACACTCAAGGGAAATTAAAACATGCGCACACAAAACTTGCACTCTTCAAAGTACAGTTATTAATAATAGATAAAAGCAGATATAACCCAAATGTCCATTAATGAATGAATAAAATGTGATATATACATCATATATGGAATATCATTTATCCATAATAAGGAACAAACCTATGAACTTTGAAAACCTTACACTAAATGAAAGAAGCTAGTTACTAAAGACTACATTTCATGAATCATACACATGAAATTCCAAAAACAGGAAAATCCACACAGCCTGCCTGGGGATGGGTAAGTGTAAGAGGAAACAGAGAGCAACTACAGCTGAATGCAACATTTCTTTTGGAGTGATGACATGTTCTCAAATTGTTTATAGTGACTAGGGTCAAACTCTGAATATACTAAAAACTACTGAATTTACATGGTATATGAACTATATCTCAATATAATTCAGCTTTTAAAAATTAAATACTGCTTTGTTTTTATCTCACATCTGGAGCTATGATTTCACAGCTTTGCACACAGCAGAAATCTAGCATGGCAAGACTTTATCTTTCATTAGTAACTAAAGCAGATTAGATCCAAAGGATGTGATCCATGAGACAACCATCATTACCTTCTTTTTGGTTTTTCCAGTGATACCCTTTAATAGTTATATTGCTTAAGTTTAGATCTATTTTATAACATATTTATATTAAAAATGTATTTCAAAAAAGAGGGTTATGAGAGAGTCACATTAATTAACACCCTCATATACTTTGGCCTGGTTGTCAGGAGGGGCCAGTCTCTGGAAAAGGTGAAAGGTAGAGAGCATCAGTGAGAGAGGGGAGGAACACAGTGAGATGGAATGACACAGTGAGTCAAACAGTGGGTTAAACACAGTGGAGACTGTGAGGATAGTGTAAGATCTGGCAAGGATTCAATCAAGTTACACAGGGTCACTATGAGTTGGAGTTAAGTCAATGGCACCTATTAACAGCAGAGTAGATAAAAAAGGCTGATGTGGGTGGAGTATGTTAGGTGTTGCACTGCTGACAAAACAGAAGAGTTTGAATCCATCAGCTGCTCTCCGGGAGAAAGAAGGGAAGTCTCCTCCTTGAATGAGTCACAGCCTCAGAAACCTGATGGAGGGTCACAGTGAGTCAGAATGAATGTGGGCTTTGGGTTAAGGGCAGAGAAATGAAAAGTATGCTATCAGTAATTCCATTTATTTTTGTAAAACAAAAAGAAGCACTTGATAAATTCTATCAAGGTATGCATTGTTCTTTTACTACTACAGTTTCTATCACAGCTGTAGTCTGGTTTTAAACCTGCTATTCCTGGTTTATGGCACTCTGGTGGTGTAGTCTGTAGGAGACTGTGCGCTAACCCAAAGGATGCATCTCTTTGGCTGAACCCACCAGCTGCTTCAAACTCAATGGAGGGTCACTATGAGTCAGAACTAACAAGACGGCAGTGAGTTTGATACCCTTGGTTTACTGTGTAGAATGCTTCTGACCTAGAATCATTCAGTTAAAGGAAGAAATGAAAAACAAAATCAAACTCATTCCCACTGAGTTGGAACCGACTTCCCATCTTTCTGCCTCGGATGAACTGTCAGAGAGGCAGTTCACCTCTGGGAGAACAGTGTAACTCCCCAGGAACTAAGGGTCTAGAGTCGCCCTAAAGGAGGAAGTAACATTCAATGAACTAGATCAGGCTTCAGCAGTTTACACACAAGCATATGAAAAGAAACTACTTTCTTACAGAATCAAAGAATTTCGGGTAGTTTTCAAATAATTTTGATTTTTAAGAGAAAAGTCTAAAAAAGATTATATGGGAGAGAACGGTATGATGGAGGGAAAGCCTGGTTTTTCCTAAAATGATTTCTTTCTGGCAAAAATTTAAGAGCTATTTGGTGTACAAAAAGAAGCAAAAAAGAGCATAAATGTCAGACAAGCTAATCCTAATTATAGACACTGATTTATTACAATATTTACAACAAAGGTCATGGGTAAAATGATTTTAATAAAACCATGTTTAATGTTGTTTAATGTCCTCAAAAATATTCATTTCACCTAACAAAACGTAAATGTACAATATATATTTTGAAAACACAAAGTAAATAAACTTACACTCTTCTTCTTTAGGATCAAGCTGTGTAACACTAACAGATAAACGGTCCACACGTTCTTGCAATGAATTAACTCTGAAGGAAAAACTATGTGCTTCATTGAATAATTCTCCAAATATATCTTCAGCATATTTACCTAAGCAAAATGAAATATATGCCATAACATTTAAGGTGATCAGATATAAAGTATCAAAATAGTTAACATTTAAAAATACTATCCACTTGAATTTGGTATTTATTTGGAATTATTTTATACACTAAAATGTTATCCCAGTTTTGACACGGTCGGAGGAAGAAAACTATAAACCCTAGGAAACCTTGTTTGAAACTTGAGCTCTACCATTTCCTGCTGGGTGACTTTACCATATATATATTTCTACCTATTGGTTGAGGATTAGAGAAGATGAACATGTGAAAGTACATAAAAATAACATATTTTTTCATTTCAAATAAGCATTCCTATAGAAACTGCACTCCAACTGAATTCCAGGCTGGGTGGCAGAATGTAACTTCAGATGATCTACATCAGGTCTACCCGAAACAAGATTTTTTAAAAATTTGAGCATAATTTGTTCTAATTTCTAAAAACAAAAACCAAAGCTTCCATAAATGTAATATTTATCTATCATGCAAATTCCCATTACTGAAGAGGAAAAGCCAAAAGAATGCTATTTTAAAGAGAGAAAAGAATAGACATTTATATGTAATAAACAAGCTAGGAAGAAGTTTTAGAAAATCTAGTGGTGCTGGAGAAGAGTACTGAATAACACATATGGATTGCTAGGAGAACAAAGCAGGTTTGGCCTAGAGAGGGTGAAACCAGGCTGCTCCTCTGAGGCAAGGATTCTGAAGCTTCATCTGACATACTTTGGGGATGCTGCAAGGAGGGACCAGTCCTTGGAGAAGGACATCATGCTTGAGAGGGTGGAGGGACAGTGCAAGAAAGGATGAGACAGACTTACTCAAGGCCAGGCCTAATTGGGGGGGGGGTAGGTGTGTCAGAGACTATAAGGTTGGCTTAGGACAGAGCAGGGTTCAGATCACAGGGTCACTGTAAGTTGCAAACGACTTGACAGCACATAACAACAACAACATCATCATCATAATGAAAAATACTTTATTCTACCTGTATTTCTCTTAAAACTAATTGATTTATCACATCATGGGGAATTACTACCTAACTGCCACATATATGTTTATATCCAAATCCCCAAGAATCATGGCTTTTCCAGACACATAAACATATTGGAGACCTACAGTTAAATCCATGACACATTCTCCTGAGGACAGCTGGTGGATTTGAAGAGGTGGTCTTTGGCTTGACAGCAAAACTTCCTAGTCACTAGGCTACCGGGGTCCTGATATATGAAAGGTAGGAAAAGCAAATTATGCTTTGTCTTACTTAACTGTGTACTCTGTTTAGAGCCTTTAATTATTTTGTGTTTTGGGGTACACTTAATATTTCTATGTTTTACTAGTTAGTAAACTCTTTTTATATTATCAGAAGTCTCATGGGTTTTTTATGGAGTAATTTATGGAGTACTCATTAGAGGATTAAGTTGCTCAATTATACTCTTGAAAGCTTACCAAACAACATATTCTAGAAATACTTCAAGACATAAGGTAATGTATGAATGCTAGATGATATGCTGTGTAGCCTAGAACACCTTTTATCTTAAAGATAGAAAAGAAGAAAAAAGGAAAGGAGAGGAACCATAGTACTGCCTAAAAAGAAGAGCCAGGAGCAGAGCTCGACCTCAGGACCTAGGTTCCTGAGCCTCCTTGACACAGGAGAAGACCAAGACACTAAGAGCTCTCCCAGAAACACTGACAGAAAGGTGGTGGTGGTTGTTATGTGCCATCGAGTCACCTGTGACTCATAGCGACCCTATGTACAATAGCCCTAAACTCTGCTCTGTCCTGTGTCAATCCTACTGTCTCCGATACACTCATCCTGATTACCCTAGTCACCAAATCAATCCACTTTCTAGAGGGCCTTCCTCTCCTGCACCTGTCCTCCACCCTCCCAAGCATGATGTCCTTCTCCAAGGACCGGTCTCTCCTTACAACATGCCCAATGAAGCCTCAGACGAAGCCTCAGAATCCTTGCCTCCAAGGAGCAGCCCGGTTTAACCATCTCTAGGGTGAATGTGTTTGTTTTCTTAGCAGTCCATTGGTACCTTCAATACTATTCTCCAACACCAAAGCTCAAAGGCAGCAATTCTCCTTCTAGCCTCCCTAGTAATTGTCCAACTCGCTGACACATAACAAGTGATTGCAAAGACCATGGCCTGTATGAGACGTACTTTAGTCTCCAGAGAGACTAAAGACCGTTGCTCTTGAGTACTTCAGAGAGGTCCCTAACAGCAGACTTTCCCATGGCAATACGTCTTTTAATTTCTTGGCTGCTGGAGACAAGGATTTTCCTCCCAAACTAACAGAGAATGCCAGATGGATACTACCACAAATGTCAGATGGATCTTGGCTGAAAGCAACACATACCAGGGGAACGTATGTAAGTCTTTCATTGACTATGCAAAGGCATTTGCTCTGCAGATCACAACAGACTGTGGTTAACCTTGAGAAGAATAGGAATCCCAGAACATTTGACTGTGCTCATTTAAAACCTATACTTGGACCAGGAGGCAGTCATCAGAGCAGAGCAAGGAAATACTGTATGGTTCAAAATCAAGAAAGGGGTACATCAGGGATGAGTCCTGTCTCCATACTTTTTCAATCTTATGTGGACCAGGTAATTTGTGAGGCTGGGTTTTATGAGAAGGAATGTGGCATCAGGATTGGAGAAGACTCATCAACAACCTGCATTATGCTTATGACACAACCTTGCTTGCTGAAACTGAGGAGAACAAGAAGCATTTGCTGCAGAGGGTATACAATATAAATAAATTGAAGCTCAATATCAAGAAAATGAAGATTCTCATCACTGGGCCAACTGGCAGCATTATGACAAATGGGTAAGAGACTAAGAATGTTAGCAATTTCAGCTTGCTTGGTTCTACAATCAACAGTTTTGGCACTGGTAGTCAAGAAATTAAAAGATGAACTGCATTAGGAAATCTGTGGTTAAGGATCTCTCCAGAGTGCCAAAGAGTAATGCTGTCAGTCTAGAGGCTAAGGTGTGCCTGATTCAGGCCATCATCTTCACAACTACTTGCTATGCGTCAGAGCTAGATAATGACCAAATAAGGCAGAAGAATTGATGCCTTTGAGTTGTGGTGCTGGAGAACTAACAGGTCTGTCCTGGAGAGGGTGAAGCCAAGCTACTCCATGGAGGCATGGAATTTGAAACTTTATCTCATATACTCTGGGCATGTTACCAGGAGGGGGACCAGCCCTTGGAGAGGACATCATGCTTGGAAGGGTGGAGGGAATAGCGCAGGAGAGGAAGATCCCAGATGAGAAGGACTGACACAGTAAAAAGGATGAGGGTAGGGGTTGTCAGTGAGATTGTCTCAGGATAGAGCAAGGTTCAGAGGTATTGAGCACAGGGTAGCTATGAGTTCTAGTCAACTCAACAGCACATAACAACAACAAAACTAATATCCTAAATAAACTGCCTCAATGATTAAATAATAATTTTTTTTGTTAAAAACATCATCTCTTGACCCAGCAATTCATTACTGGGAATATACCCTAAAAAGACTATAACCGCCACCCAAGCAGATATATGCACACCCATGTTTATTGCTGTTTGTTCAAAATAGCAAAGAGTTGGAAACAACCTAAGTGCCCATCAACAAATGAATGGATAGAGAAGCTGTAGTATATTCACACAATGGAATACTACACTGCATTGAAAAACAAGGAACTCATGAAATATTATTCAAAATGGGTGACCCTTGAAAACATTATGCTAAGTGAAGTATCTCAGTCACAAAAGGACAAATATTGCACAGGGCCACTGTTGTAAAACGGGACTGATATCAGGGTTGAGGGAAGATTGAGAAAGATGGGATGAATAATGTATACTGCATTGAAATAGATGAGGGAGAGAACTATTTAAAATTATATGATTAGTTATTATTGTCATGACAGGAGTCCAGAAAGAAGGCTGCACAGTGGACTGGATTTAGGGGCAGGGACTGTTTAACAATGAAAGGATTTTTGTTTTACTTTTCAAAGAGAAGGGCGAATTAGGGGGGTGGGGTGCAGGAAGAAAAGTGCAACAATGAATGAATGTAAACCCTAAGTCTCTGTAAATGCTCATTAAAATTAATAATAATTTAAAAAACCAACAAAAAAAAAGCATCTTCTCTGCTATAGCTAAATTAGACAAGTTAAGATAGCAGTCGAACATTTTCATCACAGCATCATCAGGGCTCCTTTACCCCTGAGAGCTATTCTAAAGATTTCTATTGGTACATATCTTTTAGTGAAAGACAAATCCTTAACAACTCTGTAAAATAATAACATTCTCCAAGTTTTAACCACAGGGAGCCCTTGGCAGGCTAGTGGTGAGGAGCTGCAATGCCAACCCAAAGGCATATGGTTCAAATCTACCAGCTGCTCTACAAAAGAAAGACAGGCAATTTTCTGCCATGTGATTTACAGCCTCTGAAAACTTGCTGAGAAGTTGACTTGATGGTACAAAACAACACAAATCTTAACCACAAGTTTAAATTAATGGTAAAAATATATTTTTATTTTCTAAGTCATACTTATTTTTAGTATTCTGGTTTTTAAAGACAAATTAGCTTGATTTGATATGTCAGGTTTATTATTTCTTTTTAATTTCAGTAAGTACATATTTACCAGTAGTTAAAATGTATTAAGAATTATGCTAGATATTCTGGAAAATTCAAGATGGATCAATTTGCTGTGAAATCACAATCGATTCAAAAAAGAGCTTTCATTTATACAAATAAATATAAGGCATTAAAGAGGTTTCACCTACAACCAGGAGAAGAAAAAATAGATGAATGGGACCTTCTAAGAATCAAATCCCTATGCACATCCAAAAACTTCTCCAACAGGGTAAAAAGGAAGCCACAGACTGGTAAAAAGTATTCGGTAATGACATGTCAGATAAGGGACTTATTATATCTAGAATTTATAAAATACTTGAGCACCACAACAAAATAAAGGTAAACAATCCACTTGAAAAATGGGCACAAG